AAATTAGAAACTCTTGCTACATCTCCCACTCTTGCAAGGTATAACTGAAATAAGGAAAGTATTAAATTCTTTGTTTTCACAAATTATTGACACATAGAAGGATCTCCTTTGCAGGACTCTGAAATAAAGTAGAAGTCAGGTTTGGTGGAAAATTGTTAATTTGATTTATAATACAATATTTAACATTAAAACAGAACAAAAACCTCTGTGTTAAACTATCAGAAAAAAAAGATAATGAAGTTGACTGAGCTCTACAGAAACAGTAGATTTTGATTATTTTGAAATATCTTTGATTCTTATAAAGGAGGACAAATTTTTAAACTAGAACTTAGCTGTTTTCAATCTAATATTCAGAGACTTGTTCATATGAAAATATGTGCAAAAATCAAGATTTCTTAGTAATAAATTAAAGGATTTAGCATTCTCAATGAAGTCTCTTTTCAATTTAAAAAATAATAATCTGAGCTCAACTGAAACAGTCATTAATTTTTTAATTATTTTCAAGAAGAAAAAATATTGTGGGTTTTTTTTTCCCGTGTCTTTAAATAGAACTATATCATTCAATAACAATTTAAGACAATTTATTGCAATATGGCCATTTCTTCCTCAAATATTAACATAAAATCATACCAAAATATTTATCATACAAAAATATGTAGCTGCATATATATATATATATGAACTGTTGTGCAACTCCTGCATTTAACAGCTAGACACAGCACATTTTATTACTTTACACCTCCATTTTAAGCAGGAAATCTCATTTGAGGTCTCTCCTATCATGCAGTTGTATCCCAATGGTGTCAAAATGTGAAACAGAACAAGAGAAGAAAACAAACTACAATGTTTTTTGAAGTATTCCTACAACATATGGGGATCACCTTCAGCTACTTGATTATTTTCTTGTCGTGGGACACATTATGAATGAGAAATTCATTTGGATCATTTCTTGCTTTTGGGGTCAGTGAATGATCTGTAATTTAGAATAAAACTTCCCAAACTGGGAAGGTTATTCAAGTGACCTTCTGTTGGTAAGGCTGTGGTTTAATTTCAACACCCAATTCTGCATCATGAACCGGTATGAAACATTAGATCAATTACAAAAATGAAAATTTTCACTGGCAGAAAAAGGTATTCTGTGCTATAAAAAGTTCTCTTGTCAAAATTGCTTCTGTTGAAAGGATGCCAGGGAAATTCAATACACTGTAGACAGACCATAAAGTGGAGGTCCCTCACTCTGTGTTGGATTTACCTGGTTGTGTTCCAGAGAAAAGTAATAGTACACATCCGGGTGTATATATCCATCAGCCTACAGCATTTAACAAATTTTGCATTGACTAATTAAAAAACTAACATTATGTAGCAGGAGTTTTATACTTAAGGAATAAAAAAGAATATGTGTACTTGTGCAATTTTACATACTGTTATAATCTTTGTTTTCCTAGTAGCTAAATTCTAATGATGGTAAATAATAAGGAAAATCTGGGTAAGCTTTCTTATTTTCTTTCAAGACTGGGCCTTCTAAGTTGGTAGTAACTGGACTACTACTACTTGGTGGTAAACTTAATAACTATGGCAGGGTTTTCTAACCTTGGAGTCCTCAATACATCCCTCAGAGGGATTTGGGTGAAAATACAGAAAAATTACATATATGTGGCCTGATGGTACCCTTTCTGGTACAGATACGAAGGGACAACCAGTGGGCAGGAACTCTCCAGCCCTACTCCAGTGGCAGGTCAGGCTCAAAGGGCTGTAATGCCCATGGGCTCTGAACTGGGCTAACTGATGGTCCCACATCAGGGAAAGGTATTGCAGCTCCTTGGGGCTGGGCAAGGCCCTACTAACCAGGCAGAAAGGACACACTTTGTCAGTGCCAACACTGGCCTGGCCAGTGCCAAAAATAACTTTTCATGTATATTTTTAGTTAAACCTTGGTAGCTTGTTGTGATTAGACATATAAAGTCTTCCTTCCCACCAGTGTAACTCCACTGGCTTTATATTATTTCTGAGTTATACAGGGAGAAGTGAGAAAAGAATCATTCCCTGGGAGTAAAATTCCAATTTAAGTGTAGGCTTGTGTATAGCCACTTATTGAGATGAATTATATGAAAGTCATGGATACTCTGGGTGTAAATCCAGGTGGAACTGTGCCACTAATCTATGAATGTGTTGCACTCCTGAGAGAAGAAAAAACAAACCTAACGATCTGACAGCCTTATAAAAGCATTCCCATTGTGGCATAATCTTTTAGAAGAAAAATAAATCATACCCCATCTTTTTGTAAATTGACCTGTAAGTTACTGGCAGCAAATCAATAGGATACAAATGAAAAATAATAATGCAATAACAATGCTGTATATTATCTTGGACCCCAGACGAAAACTTGTAAAAGGATCAATATGATAAAGATTTAGCAGTGTTACTCTTTTACAAAGAAATGACAAAATAACATACTGATTTCAAAAGGTGGGTGTTAAAAAAACCAAATCCATCTGCCACAAAATGAAAAGATAAACCCAAATATAAAACACTTCCTTGTTTGTTTGTCTGTTTCTTTTCCCCCAGAATTTCATTAATTTGAACTGGCATTAAAGGGAGTGTTTTTTTTGCTTGCTTATTTGAAGAAAAAGCAAGCAAGCTTAAGTCATTATCATTAGCCCAAGAAGCTCAATGGATGAAAACTCGCTTTCATAGAATAGGAATATGAAAACTGTTGATTTCCATGAAGTACGTATGTGCACTTATTTTGTCTAGTGTTTAATTTTAACTGCTAACTCTATTTTCTTTTTTTAGCTGTTGTTTATTTGAGGTAGAGCAGTTAATTAAAACAAACTTTTCTTTCTTAACTAGAACAAAGATAGTGGTTTGAAAGGAGCTTATCCTCCATCCTTAAAAGCTTGCCTCATTTATAGAGTGGACACAGTGGACCTGTAGGTAGAAACCGACAGGTAGAAAAAGGTCCACCCATGTGGAGCTATGTGGAGTTGGGTTGCTCTGCCCTCAGGACTACAGAATGCCCTGTTAGGGACCCAGAAAAATTCCTACAAATTTTTGCGTGAACTGAGGAGTGAAATTTATGGAGGAAGAGGTAGGATTACAGAAAGGCTTAATTCTTAAAACAAAACCAAGACTGCTTATAAGCCTCACTGAATGAAATCTAAAATCAGTAGATTTGTTTTCTTCACGTGATTTCCACATTTGTGTTACAGAATAGAAAATGAAGAGCAGGAAAAGGAAGTGGAGGCTCCAGAGGAGAGAGAGGAGAGCAGCCGTGCAACCGGACTGCTGGTGGGGAAGCACGGATATTGCCAACATTGGCAAGTGCACCACAGCACTCAGACATGGCTGTGAGTCCCAGCATCATGGGCACTGAGGGAAAAATCACTGGAGGACAGTGGGCACACTGAATTAATCCACTCGATCTTTCTGTGATACACATTTCTATAGAAAGGAGCAAGGGACATTGACAATTGAAAGATTCCAGAAAAGAATATTTATAGTGCTAAATGAATGACTGCATCTGTAGTTCAAAAAAAAACATACCCACGTGGTGCTCCTTTACAGACATCTTGTGTGACACGCACTGAAGTCTACGAGGAAATAATTTTTAATGCCATCTTCACAGCTGGTATGTGCACAACCCAAAAGAGTCAATACTAAGGTCAAGAACTACAACTGATTAAGCATTAATCACTAATGTTATGCAATTATCCCTGTAGGTTTTCAAGGTGCTTTTCAGACAAGCAGAAAAGTAAAGACTTCACGTTGGCAAATTTAAAACTGAATCATAAAAGTCAGACAACAAAGGGAGAGGGAATGAAGACAACATTGACAGAGACATGGTAAACCTATATGAGGGCACCATTTACACGTAACAGTCTTGCTATTCCAGCTTGTTTTGTTGCAAGTACAAGATAAACAGTTGTCTCACGCATTAGGCTTAGTATCTACCCACAGCCACCTTATTGTGCCAGATTTTTATAAATAAAATCATGAAAAGATTGAGGCAACTTGTGCATTCCCAAAACTATGTAAAATAACACCCACAATCAATGCAACATGGCACATAGCAGTTACCCTTCGATCTCACTTATATTTTCATTCTGGATTAGTAAGTGCAGAGTGAAAATAATATGCCTTTCTTGAAAGGCAGCCAAAAGCTACAGTTTTCAAATTTCAGTTTGTGTTCAGAGCTTTATCACAATTTCATATGAATAAGTTCTTAGCTTAGAAATTTCCACAATTGCTTAAAGGTGCATTTGAAGTCATTTATCTCCATATGGGTGCACTGCTGTAGGAATTTTAAGAGTTATTTCAATATTAATCCACAGTTCATGGTTGTGAGTACAGATCAGAGATCCTCACACAGCTCCAGCCCCAAGACAGGCCACCACCTGCAGGGCGACAGGTGACAGTCCCCTGTTCCTCCCATTAAACTTGTGTGTATTTAATTTACTGTGACCTTGAAATAAAGCATGAAAATCTCATTAGCTGGGAAAACTTTTAATTCCTCTGGCATATCAACCAGTGTAGATGTTGGAAATTATTGCTAGAAGACCGTATCTGTCAGGGTATGGCAGGAGTCTCCCATCTTAGGTCTGTTTTTTTTTAGAAAATTGTGTTTCCATGGTTTTTTAATCCTTTTTTATAGTGTCTGTTTCTCCCCCTTTAAATGGCATTTGTTGCAAATCAGAACCACCTCAAAATTGAAAAATCTCACTTTGGGGCTGTTTTTAAAAAACAAAATAATAAAAATTCTTCATGGTAATAAGAAGTATTTTTTCAGACAGCTGCAGTTACCACCTGTTTGCAACATTTAAGGAAAGAAACCCACAGGCGCTTTTTCCAGATGTGCCAAACTGATCTTTACACTTATTCAGTCCTTCTGTTCTCTCTTCGTATGCTCTCATTGAAAAATCTTTAAGGATAAGTAGGAGGAGAAGGAAATACCTCATTCTGAGATCACCTTTGCCTGCTACTTTATGCAGACAGAAAAAACCAAACCCACACTGCTATCAGGAATATACTTTGACATCAAAGAGGAGTAGCAGGAGGTTGTTCCCATATTCTGCTGGGCAACAAGGCATTTAACAAGAGTAACCAGATGTACATTTTGCCAGCAAGTAGGTCTGCTGAAGACTGTGCCAACCCCTACTGTTTCTCGCTGCCCTTTTCCCGCAGATAAATCTGCCCACAGTTCCTCTGGATCAAGGTTTTATTTGGAGGGGAAGCGGCTCAAAACTTTAATCTGTTTTAGGCGAAAGTCCATCACTCCAGCTTTGCCTGACAAAGGAAGGGAATTAACGTCTTACTCCAGCAGAAACTTCAGGCATGTGCACCGATGACTGCTGCAACTGTGGAAAAAGAACAAGAATCAGTGTCCTTTCCCTTTCTACTTGTGTAAATCCCTCCTAGCAGTGAGGGAGACCCAGTGTTTCTGGTTTTTGCCTGTGGACTTGAAATAGTGAAAGCGAAAGGACAGGTTGCAGGCTAGATAAGGAAAAATCTTCCAGCAAAAGTGACACAGTTTCGATTTTAAAAATCCAGGAAAATATACCATACAAATATTCTTTTCTACAGTCAGGGCTAGTTATTACCTTGCTATGCTACCTCAGAGTTATATATATATATTCAAAGACCAAGAAACCAACTCTCTTCATCTGCCATAAAACTAACCAGTATTCTATTTTCTGCTTCAAAGTAGGCTGCTAAATCACACAAAGTTTTTCTTATTTCTTTTTTTTTTTTTTTACTGTTTTTTTTAGCTGCTGTACTCTTTTCTTTATGACTCATGTTCCATAAGAGCAGCTTAAGCTCAATGAAACAGGCAGTGTCAAACACTACACTGCCCTAACTGAGAAGAAACACAATTAGTTTTGAAATCTTTCATAGGATGCACAATTATCAGGACCTAATTTCTACAGCTGAGGTATCCCTGACTGTTTCAACAGTCTGGCATAATGCTTTAAGTCAAGTGGAACATTTTCTTGATTTTGATTTTTGTGCTCAGGTGTTAATATTAAAAGCCTACTTAGTCATAATGTGAAGCAAAACAGGGATAATTCAAACAAAACACCCAAAACCAAAGAAAGCCAGGAGAGAAAAAAAAAAAGAGAAAAAAAAAAATAGACAAGTCTAAGCCATCTTGGAATGAAAAATTTGGAAGCAATTCTTAACCTTCTCAATATTTGAAGAAGTCTCAAGAATATAAGGGTAAAAATATCACATATGGAAACACAAAAATGCTGTCTGCTCTATTTAAGTAGTACAGAAGGAAACATTTCCTTGCTTCACTAAGTGCCTTCCTTTCCTCTTTGGTTGACTACTGATAAAATTTGGAGATCTGGAAAGACCACACGGTGATAGGAAAAATCGGAATATTTTAACATGATTTTCAGAGCTCTAAGCTTAGAAATAGGCATTTCTATGTTGCATGTAGAATAGAAACTTAATTAATCTATTTCAGACATTATTGATGTAGAATATCTTGCAATGACCACAGGTTATTTGGCACTGAAACCCAGTAAAGACAGCGTTATGTTGTAGATCAGAGACATTTTCATAACAATGAGTCATGTGGTGCTTTGAAAGGATTTTCCAAAGGTAAAAGGAGAAGATTCTGCATTACAAGAGTCGTTTATTGAGTTTTGCATACATCAATAACACACTGGTCATTATGCATTAGATGTGTCATCAAAGAATATGTGATAGATATCCTATGGAGAGCTAAGAACTTCAAGTTGAGCTGCAAAGCAGTCAAGTTCATATGCAATATAGTTGATCAACCTCAAAATTCTGAGATTGTTGAGAAAAAAGTTCATCTTCATATTAAGACAAGGGGAAGGGCAAGTAAAAACCTTTTCTGAAAACTTTACATTTTATCCTCAAACATACTTAAGCCCCACCAGTGTGGCCTAGTGCTGGGTAGATGAAACAAAAGTGCTATATAAAAATTATAGTCTGAAATGAAGACCCATAAAAAGAGCTAAGGGTAGTGCCTCTTTTAATTTAATTTATGTCCAGAGTTGTTATGAAGGAAGACACTTAATCCCTAACATAAACCTGCAGGGAATATTACTTATCTTTAAGACTTGAAGGCTAGTGTAACGCAAGCTGAGAATTTTATCTTTTCATTGTGAGAAGAACTAAATTAAATGTTTTCTGTAGATATCAATGGATAGTTTAAAGAGGTGCTATGGTTGCAAGTCCTCTGAATGACTGAAGTACCACATTTCTTCTGCTTAATGAAAGAAAGCTTACAGTATACAATGAAAAATGGCAAAAATCTGGTCACACAGTATTGGGTCTATGATATTTTGATTATATTAGTTTGATCCACCTAAAGGAGCTATTTCACTACAGTAGACACATATGAAGTAAAAGCTAGAAGAACTAGGCATATATATTCAAGACTAGAGGACTTTGTTGTTTAAAGGTAATTTTAACCCACAAATAAACGTTCATAGTCATAATAAAAAAGACTCTGCATACCTTCATAATTATCACATTAGACGTTTTCCATCCTTCTTAATAAAAAATTATTAATAAGAAAGAAACTGGCCCCCAAAATATTTGATCACTGCTTTCAGGAAACTGGATCAAGGGGTGGGTTTTGTTAAACTTAAAAAAGTATATTTTAATGAGCCTGTTTTAAGCTTTAGACCTTCTGTCCTTCTTCTAGTTGGCTTCTGACATTCCCTCTCATGAGATTTCTGTGCTGAGGTCACAGATGCCTCAGAAATGTTAAAATATATTATGTATATAGGCCTGAAACATATGCAGTCTGTACTTAGAAAAAATCTAATTTTTAAAGCTGCAGGAATGCACGATCAAAGTAACTGTAACAGCTTTTTCAATAATGTTTCCACAGGAAAATTAAATTAAAAACACCAATTGGGAAGAATTCCAGCTTCAAACAATTTGTTTCTAATCAAGGAGCTAGACATTGGCTGGTGCTGGCGCCTTGCCCTCTCCAGGGTAAGCCCTGGCAACTTCTAAAATAACGAATCCAGTCATCTCACAAGACTCCATCAAAGCACCCAGAGAAACACAGATCCAGCAGATAGCTAAACGTGACAGGATCACAGACTTACCATTAGCACAAGGGGGTAAATAACCCACCAGGACAAGATAACGTTGACTTGTTGCACACAAATCTAGGTCTTAACATTTTGCTTCGGAGCAGTTGCCTTTGTCTCTCCCATGACGCTGTAACGTCGACCGGTGGATCCATTGGCCCAGGAAATCATGTTCCAACCCACGACCCTGTGGCACCGATGATGCAGTGCTCCACTGGGATACACACAACCTGAATGGCATCTTCAGCCTGAAGCTCTTGCTCCTCTAAGGCTGGGAGTTAGTTTTCCTTCTGATATTCCTAAAACACAGTTTTTCATAAACATAAAGAGAGGAAAGGATTTCTTTTAGACTTGCAGCCTTTACTCATAGTTCTTGCTGTGCCCAGGACTTGATATAAATCATCTTTCCCTCTGCTCATTATGAAGTTTCCTGCCATGATCATTTTTCACGCCATTCACGTTTCCATGCCATTTTTCCCTGTCCTGGCTCCAGCTTCTCTACTGCATTAGATTATTTATCTTTACTTTCAAGGTTCATTATTATTTACTCCCTACTTATTACCTCTCGTTTACTATCTGGAAATGGACTTTCTACTGTGTTTAGCGTGCAGTGCCAGCTTCAAACACCCGTGTATTACACTGTTATATGCGGCCGACCATTTCTTTCCTGCACTTTGGTTTTCCTCTGTGTCTTTGGCAGAGGAGAATGGACAGATGGTAACTGGAACCAGTGCTGAGACAGTAAAGCCTTTGGAGTGGACTCAATCTCCTGTCACAGTCCTTCCAAGCTAATGCTGTACAAATAAAGAACAAGAAAATACAGGAAAAAAATGGACACGCAATATGTAAATATTTCCTTAATAGCATTATTCTACATAAAATGTTACCCTTGTGACATTACGCACTGATAAATGAGAGAAATTGGGACAACAGAGCTAAAAATGGAAGTAGGGGGACTTGCAAGATGTGTCTCTAACCAAAAGGGGGAGTCACAAGATGCGTCTCTAACCAGGACTGCATTGTGAAAGCACTTAACGTCCACGGTATAATCAGCTATTAGTCTATTAGTTGTGGGTTGACTCTCAGCTTCTTCAGCCAACAGGAGTCCTGCTTTTAATTTCAATGTGGTTTGGAAGAGGTCACAAGGACTTACGCATTTATTCGCTATGAGGAGTTTTGAAAATGACATATTGGAAAGTAAAAGACAAACCAAGATGTTTCTCCAAATGTTTGGCAGTCATCAGTTATACAGGAGTATGAGAGTAGAGCTCAAATTAATACCCCTGATATAGTGTATCAAGCTGAGGCTTTCCAACTACTAATACAAAAGATGAATTCTCAAACACCAGACACAGGTGACAAGATAAGAAGCCCAGCACATCATGTCTAAGATATAAATGGATCCATCTGTCAGCAGTAACTTTATAAGTGAATTGCTCTCAATTATGTTAGAAACAGCATTTAATGAAATATGATTTTAAAGTACTACATAGAGGAAGAAAATGTGCAAAGTAAATTCCTGATATAATGAAAATTGAAGAGAGTGATAGATTTTGCTATTATAATTGGCAAACAGAATGGAGGGTTTTGATAGAGATGACAGTAGAACAGCTTTTGGCATATCATTTGGCTGGGCTAGCAATCTTCTAATCATATGTCCAGCCTGTCTTCAGAGGTCATTTTCAAGGTACAGGTTCAGATGAGAAATAGCAGTGTTATATGACAATTTCACTGATGGCTGCAAAGAAATGTTCATTACGTTGCCTTCTTGCCACATGAGAAGGGTCCCATCATGTATCAAATGGTGGAACAGGTGTCAATGAAAAACTAGAGTTTAGTTATTCTGAATTTAAATCCTTCATACAGTCCAAATTCAGTCTTTTCTTCTATGACAGGAAGTCAATGAACCCATATTAATTGTCAGGCAAATATTCCCCTCACCCCTACCCCCCACTTTTTTCTGGGTTTTGGATTTTTGGTTGTGGGTTTTGGTTTTTTTCCTTCAGTATTTGTTATCTCAGCCATCATGAGAGAGTGGTTGGGAGAGCGAGCCCCAGTTTAGAAGGGAATCTGGAGGTATGCCTGGCTGTGAGAGGTGTGTGGATCTCAGACACACAAGGGTCACAATATCCATGAGGAAAAGGTAATGTGCCTGTGAGAATCGACAAACAATCTTAGATCTCTCATCTGTGACATTCCACATTATAACATATTTGTAGATATATTTTAACTTATATTATTTAAGAACTTCCTAGGATTATAGTTGGAGACTAATTAGAATGCCTGAATTAATGATACTGTCCTCTCCAAGTTAGATTCATCCTCATATAGTGTTTGGTTTTGTGTCAGACAGGCATGGATTGCACAGGCAGCCCCACACTTGCCGAGTAGAGAGCTGAGGGACTGTGACACATTTTTGTAGGCTCTCTCTTAAAGCTTTTCCTGTAGCCTGGCTGCTGGAGGCACACCACCTTTTTTTTGAAAAGCGGGCACCAGTATTCTAGCCTTAGAGTCAGGATTTAATAATGCTGAATTTAAAATTATTAGAAATACCATTGCTTTCACAAGTACACAAATATTGAATTAATTATTACATGTATTTCAGATCAGCTGAATTATGAGTAGTATTTTGTTGACTGATTTATGTTGGAAATTCACATTTACAAATTATATTCACCAATAAAGTAGGCTCAGGTATGACATAGAAGTTATTGCTGTTACTCATGAAATATTTTCTACTTTGCTTTTTGTTCTTGGGAATGCTGTACACCAAGCAATATATTTCCCATATGAAATAGCTTTCCTGAAACATCTGCTGCCAGAAAGTTTGTCTGGAACTTGCAATGATGGATGAATTTTTGACAGGTAATTGCAATTCAGATCAGATGCAGACAGATTTAGTACTAAGAAGCTCCCAGTTTATTAAAATCACCATTGATTTATTTAAGCACCCCCCCTCTCTTTTCACCACCATTCAGAAATTAATCACTTGGGTATGGTGTTCAGAGCTCATCCAGCTGCTCATAATATGAAATACATCAGTTTATCTTAACTTTATCTATCTCTCAGCACTTCTGAAGAACCTATCACCACAGTATCTAGTCACCACCAAAACCAACATGTACAATTAGTGTAAGCCTTTCATTAAAGCTGAAAGAAATTATAGAATTCATATCAGTTGCATGGTTTAAACTCTCCAGGCTTACTAAAGCAAATTACGTGTCAGTATCCATCACACCTATGAAAATGATGTTTACTTTTTTCTTAGACAGTAGCTGGAAGGACTGAAAGTTGGACTCCATCAGTAAAATTTCTCCCATATGTAACATATAATAAATTCATTACTGAATAGGTCTGCCACCGATATATATTTATATAAAAAAAATACACAGATAAAATAAGATTTTTCTAGATCATCACTGAATTTGTGTAACTGATATGATTATAGTAACAACGGCAAAATGGAAGAAGGACTCCATCCACTCATGAGCAATACAGGACAATTTCATGAGCCACATTAACATTTCTCAGTTAGATGAAGTGAGATAATTTGTATTTCCTTTGGTTTCCTAGACCACCTCACTGAATTGCTGTGGGTTCTGGTTTGTTTCCCTCCCCAACCTCCCATTGACGTAGCAGAAATTTTAAAAATTCATTAACATATTTTTTTTCTTTTAAAAATTCCTGTGTAACTTCCAGGACTGCAGTTCATTGCAGTTTAGTTTTGCTGAAATTGAGGTAAATGACATCTGCTGTTCTCTCCTTGTCCAAAAATCCAGTCATTTTATCATAGAAGCCCCCAGGTCAGGTGAGATTTAAGCTTGCTACTCTTTCCAGTTACAGTAGACGTCAAAGGACAAGCAAGAAAGGAGCAAGCACTTGGTGCTCCCCCAAGTGCTATTCCACCTGCCAATTACTTCCAGCTCAAAGGGATTTTCTCAGCCAGATGTAATTTTGTGCATTGACTGTCAAAGGTAAGTACGGTTTGGTTCATCTGGACATAAATGCCTGCTCCAATTTGTTTGTCATTTAATGTCTATTTTTGATGTTGGTCTTGGCCTAAACCACTGAATATTTCTTTTATTATTCCATATGCCAGTAACTTTACTTCAAGAAGAAACCTAAAGGCATGTCTACTTTTGTACAGATATCATGATTTCTTGCTGAAAACAACAATAAGGCTTGTTTTTACAATGACTCTCAAACTGGCATAGCTGTTTTGCTGAAGGGAATGACCTCTGAGTATACGTTCTTCTTGTACATGCAACAATAAATTATAAAAATATTAGTGCTTGTATTTTATACCGTGCTCTTACAAAAATAGCCATTCTTGCATTTAAAAAAAAAAATAATTAAAAATAATCTATTAAGAGATTTAGGCTGAGTTTGTGATTCTTCAAGCACAACTTTAGCTAGGCTTTTAGTGCCTATATGTAGGATACTCTTTCTTCAGTCAGCTATGAAGAATGCCCACCCTGTGGATAGAAGTGAACTTGGGCATCCTTCTTCAATCTTACAGTGCTACGTCACCTTTTTTTTCTCTATCAGTAGTGACTACATCTGTGGGGATTTTATGTATTTCTCACACAGACGAGGAAGATTCACATTGTTCCTCCCACCCCAGGAGCCATCACTTGTGATGCTTTTATGATTCTATTCACATCCCTCTGGATGAGCAATGCTGTCTCATCAAATATATTTAACCGGTTGAAATTACTCCATCTAACAATCTATAGACCTTCATTAGCTAATTATGACTCTCATAGGTGTTCGTTTTTCTGTACCTACATTTTCATGCTTTCTTAGCTCCTTTCCAGTCTACTCAACATTAGGACCACAGCTTCAGTGTTCGAAAGTTTTTAGTGTTAAATCCTAAGTGGTAAGAGGCATAGAATAATCAGAGGTTTAGAAAACATGAATTATAAGGAAGACTTGAAAGAAGTTATTTAATCCAGATTAAAGTATAGTGAGAAAGGGATATGATAGCATGTTCCCTGAGATGCAAACACATTAAAGGTAGCTCTAAAAAAGAAAAACAGTTATTCTTCATGCAGTGGTGAACAGGAGGAAGCATTAGAAGAGTGTAAATCCCAGTAAAGGAGACTGATGTTAGACATTTCAAGCAATCCAAGAGTTACAGGTTTGGTGAAGAGTGGCTGAAGAGCTGCCTGGAAGAAAAGGACTTGGGGGTGTTGGTCGACTGCTGGCTGAATATAAGCCAGTAGTGTGCCCAGATGGCCAAAAAGGCCAATAGCATCCTGGCCTGTATCAGGAACAGTGTGGTGAGTAGGACTACACAAGTAATTGTCCCTCAGCAATGGTGAGGCCCCACCTCGAATACTGTGTCCAGTTTTGGGCCCCTCAGTACAAGAAAGACATTGAGGTGCTGGAATGAGTCCAGAGAAGGGCCACAAAGCTGGTGAATGGTCTGGAACACAAGTCTTATGAGGACTGGTTGAGGGAGCTGGGACTCTTTAGCCTGGAGAAGAGGTTGAAGGGAGACCTTATCGCTCTCTACAACTTCCTGAAAGGAGGGTGTAGAGAGGTGGGGGTCGGTCTCTTCTCCCAAGTCACAAGTGATAGGACAAGAGGAAATGGCCTCAAGCTGCACCAGGGAAAGTTTAGACTGGATATTAGGAAAGATTTTTACACTGAAAGGGTTATCAATCATTGGAATGGGCTGCCCAGGGAAGTGGTTGAGTCACCATCCCTGGCAGTATTTAAGAGATGGGTAGACATAGTGCTGGTTTTTGTCAGTGTTACATTGATGGTTGTAATAGATGATCTGAAAGGTCCCTTCTAACCTAGACAATTCTATGACTCTATGATTATTAACTGAACTGGAGACCAAGTTATCTTCTGGGGGCTGATAAAGAATAAAGCAGCCGTCATTGAAATGTTTCAGATTAGCTGCTGCTAAGCAGATGCATCTGACTGAAATGAAGCTTTGGGGGTGCATGACCAAAGGGAGAAATCTCTGCCACTGCTGGAAAAAGTAATTTTTGTCCTTCTCCAGGCATCTACCTAAACTCTTCTGGGTTACTGACCCTGTGCAGAGGTCCACAAACCTGTAGAAAACCTATATTTGCCTCCTGATGAAGCTCAATCCTGTGGTTACTGCTGCTTCAGTCACTGCTAGAGCAAAGGGTGGCTAGAAAATACACCTCCGCACCCCACTCCTGTGTCTGAGTACTCGGTTCAACAGTTTGAGCCCTGTGGTTTGTGATTTTTCATAATTGACCTACTTTTCTGTGCCATTACAGGAAAGGGAAATATAGGTTGTTTTTTTTAAAGCTGTGATCCATGTCAGATTACTGGAAAGAGAGAGTAAGGAGCAATGTTTTTACCAATATTAATTCATCCCTTAATTACACAAGCTGTTGCAAAGAAATTATTCTTCTGTCAGGATTTTCCAGTTATGAATGCTTATCAATCTTTTAATGATTTTAAATATAATGTGTGGATTCTTCCTCTTGTGCTTATAAACAGTGGTTTAAATTTTTTAGTACACTAATATTTTAAAGAAAAAAAGGCCCACAGTGTTTCTGACAAGGCTGATTATAGAACATTAGAATGAGGACACACCTCTATTTAAAAAATGTTTTATAGGGAGTGAAGATTTATAGAGGTGTTCTGCTGATTCATGAAGACTAGATATGGAAATTAATTTCTGGAAATCACTCAGTGATGAAATATGTAACATATAATGCATTTGTCTGTAAGACAAATATGTGTGTTGGCTGATTAAAGAAGATATATGAACTTCTGAAAAAAAAAAAAAAACCTAAAGGAAATTATTCTCTGGAACAAAACAGCTAATTATAAAACCAACAGGAAATGAAATGTGTATATTGAATAACCATATAATTTTTCCTAAATAGGAAACCTTCAATATTAATTTCTAATGTATTTAAGTATGCAACTTAAATGTCTGATGGCACATATATATGTGAATATCTGAAATGTACTACTTTGCTGGTTCTAGTCCATTTTCAGACAGATGGTGTTGGGTATGTCAACCCACTGCCCAAAAGAAACAAAAGGAGAAGGTGTGGGATGAAGAAATTATCTTTGCTACAAAATGCCCCTGAATGTGACAAAGAGAAGTTTTTTTCCCAAAGAGGGTTGTTTTAGGGCACCAGGATACAAATATATTCTGGAGCCAACTTATGACAATAACTGAACCATGGCAATCAACTTCATAGTTAGAAAGGGAATAAAATAAAACCTAGCCAGGCCAGTCATTAACCATTGTGGCAGAGACTTATTGCAAGTTTGACCGTGATTAATCCAATATTAAAAATAAATCTTGATTTCATTGTCTACCTCAAATGCTGTTTGTAATATGAGACAAAATATAAAGACAGTGAAAAGTCTATGAAGAGTTAAAAATGCACAATTAGAAATTAATTTAACTCCATAAGTCAACTGATTAAAAGCCACATTTTTATTGTATATTTAAAGTTTTTATGCAGAAAATATGTGGCTCCTTACACAGCAGACACAGAAAGGTGGGTGGCGTGTTTTTTTGGTTTATTTTTGTTTTGGCTTTTTTTCTTCTTTTAATTAACATAAGAATCTGTCAATCTAAGAAGCACTTTTTTGAGAAAAAGCAGTTTGGCTTCAAACATTCAACAAGTGATAAATGAGGTTTTTCAAAAATAGAAGTGCCTACATGTGTTGATGAGACAATATGTGAATGCTGATGAATAAATATAATCTGCCTGAGAAGGCTAAATTTCAGCTTGTCCTCACATGTGAGTTATTTGCATTTCTACAGATGTGTTGATTTCACATGCCTTATGGACAAGAAAATGGAAACGTTAAAAACAGTTTTTTCCTATTTATGTTTAAAAAAAAATTACTCAGTTGCTCTGTGAGGTTCAAAGACTTGAAGTAATTGATGCTGTTTGAATAAAAAAGATCAGGGCCCAAATCATGGAGCTTATGATCTAAGATTTCTCTAGTTTTTTTGGAAAAATAGGAACAAATTGTGCACACACCCCTGAGAAAAGAAGACTTTGTAGATTTCCCTGAGACACAATGGTTCTAAACACATTCTCATAAATTTCAGCTTTGCCAAAAGAAGAGACAGTAGGACTATGTGTATATTTTTAGTTCAAGAAAAAAGATTGTGTGAAAGCTCAGCACTGACACTTTTTCAGATTTTTTTTCCTTTTTTTTTCTGCTGGGTTCAATAGAATGCATGATGTTCACAGGATTTTTTGCTTTTCATATTTCTTTTCTCTATTTTCTCGTCTATCTCATAAGAAAAAGAAAGAGAAAGAGAGGAAACAAAAAAAAAAGAGACTAAGTGTGCTTATTGCTTTGTGGTATACAAAATAGAGAGGGGGGAAAAAAGAAAGAAAAACAAAATTTCTAAAAGTAATAAGAAAAAAACTGAAAATAGAAGTTATAAATTTCTGTGAAGTAGAAGCAACTACGATTACTTAAAATTTCTAATTTCAACAACTCCTATTCAAAATCTATATATTTCTTCTTTTCTTTGCACATCCGTACCTTTTTTACCATGTTAAGATGGGATATAGAAAGAGGTAGCGCTAGCCAAAACTACAGAACGGCAAAGCAGCTGCATCTTTACTTTTAAGTAAAGAAACGTGACATGTTTGCAGTGTATAACCCCTTTTCTTTTCAGGAAAATTTCCAGTGGCAGAGCTGGTAGAAGAACATGTGTAGACAAGACCTCATCCTGCCTGTTGGCCTCGTGTAAGCTGCCTGGAAACCCCTGCAGCCCCTGCACAGCGGTGCCTAAAGCTGTTCTCATTCAGCTCCACACCCTGCTCTGGGAGCCCACAGCAGCAGCCAGGGGAAACAGAGGCTTAATAACCTACAGGTCAATGTGAAAAAAAAAAAAAACCAACAACCCAAACCTGAGCTCCAGTTCATCTCTTCAAGCATCTCGAGAGCTGCCTTCCTGCCGGTCAAGACATGGGGAAAGGAAGGAGCAACGTTCCTTGAATGCAACCAGGAAAACTGCAGAGGATAATAAAAGGAAGCAGAATTTCATTTTTTAGTCTGGGGTTTCTCAGTCTTTGTATTGCCACTAACACTACCAACAGCTAAGTGCTCACTGGCACCTCATCTGTTGTTATCAATCCTCATGATTTTCTGCTGTGGTTCTCACACATGAAACAACTGGGCACATTGCACCCAACTTGAAGGTTAGAGGTACACTTCTGTCTATGCAGTCCTGGTCCCCCATCAATGAGAGCCCACCCATACATCCCACAAGTGTCACGTGTCCCAGATCCAGCACTCCCCTCAGTCTAGCAGCTAGAAATCACACCTCAGTCCTGCAGACCAGAGTAGCCAAGAAGATTAATTTTCAGTAAACTTCACGTAACATGTTCACATTAAAATATTTTGAGATTGTGAAATGATGCATATGCTCTAAGACAAGATGATTGTGTTTCTCACTTTGTTGTCTCCACTGATTTTTTTCCTCTTACTATACTCAAAGTACACTCTGAGGTGGACACCATCTTCTTGATCCAGATATATCCAGGGCCAAGGAGGAGGACATCCTCATTTGTTATGGGGATAAGTGGATACTAATAACCAGGAGGTAATAGATGACCTTTTTTTTGCTAATGTTCTCCTATTACATTGCAATGAATAATAGTCCAGTCCTAAGATATTACCTCAGAGCCACACTGGAAAGCTGTGTGAGGATGAACCTTCTCGTGAGACAGAGCAAGCCTCAAGGTAAGTCTCCATTTCTGAAGAGCTGCACACAAATCCATACTATGAATATCTGTGGCCATGTTACTTGCAGCATAAGCAGCCATGAATTGAAGTTATGTATTATTTTGACCTTTCTAATCTGCTGACATCATATTCTTCCCCACTTTGCTTGTGTACTTGGGCTCTTCAGATTAGCGGTCTTAGTCTGACCTCTCCTTCAACCATGTGCACAGGTCACCCTTTTTGCCTGCACTGCCCTTTGTAGCTGGAGATTACTTCCCCTTAATTTCATTCACCATGTCCATTTTGTAAAGTTCACATCGAACAAACCTGTTTTCTTTCAAAATCATGACAGATTGTTCTCCTACACAGCTGTTTATTCATGACTTCATTCATGTCTTGAACTCTTCTCTCTTTGACTCTCAGGTGTGAGTGATCCTTAAGATCAAATCCACTTAGGCATTGTGTAAAGTGACAGTTACTTCACTGCTGTTAAAGTAAAGAAGAGAAGAAGAAAAAAAAAACATGTTGAATGACTGCTCCTGCATCAATCTGGTAAGAAAGGTCAGAGGCGTAGGGCTCAAATACACAAGAATTTCTGCCATATAGAGAATTTGCTGGTCAACTGTAACTAGTTTTAGCTCCTTCTTTACTTCTCAGTAGTGAGGACAGAGAGGCTGGGGCCTTTCTAATTGCACAAAGCTGTGTCTGTTATACAAAATATTTTAGGTCCTTATTTCATAAACTTTTACTACCTTAGCTCATCTACTCCAAGAACATTGTATCTTTTCAATATGCCCTATTGACACCCTCTGGCTAATGTGACAATTCATCATCAGCAATTCCCTATGCCACAGTTATGGTCTCAGTTCAATAAAACACTTAAGACATGCCAGAAACCTAGAAAAGCCTGGAATAAGAGTTAATACTGTGTGCAAATATAGATTTAAATTTAAGTGGCACACTTTTTTTTTTACCACTATGAGCCTCTGACCCCTACCATGCTACTGGAATAATTAACGAACATTGCCTAGGACGTGCACACTTGATCAACAATTGAATCTTCATTTCTATTTCTGATCTTATTCTTTAGCCTTATGGTATTTGGATTGAAATATCCAGCCTAATTGTTATCCTTCAGTACAGGAATCCCATCAGACAAAGAGATCGTTTTAACACCAAAAAAACATTAAAACAGCAAAAGACCTGAGCCCAGGGCAGAGGTACAAAGAAAACTGTGCATGTTACTCACAGTGTTTTGGTATCTCTACTCTGTTAAAGAATAAACATACTGTCAATAGCTTGAGGGAGGAAGATTTTGATGCCTTAGCGAATATGAATCAAAGCTGAATTCATCATTTGTATGATTCGCTTTGTAAAGATCATAAAAAGAATTAAAATAATGAAATACCAAGTTATAAGCACTGAGAGAATGCAGTAGGTTTATATGCAATTCCAAATATTCCTTGTAATCGGTGTGTAATGAATAGTCAATTGAAACTGATATCTGTTTATCTGTGCAATTTAGAAGAAAAAAACGAAACAGACCTTTTGCCATTTATATTGGAACTAACAATAAGAAACTATTTAGTAGATAGGTGAAAGATCAGCTACAAACCTTTTTTACTTTTCTTCAAAAACTGACAATGTATGGAATATAGCTTTAAAACTTAATGTGACTGATCCTATTTTAGTGTTCTCCCATAAAACTGTGTATTAATATAATAACAAGATCATGTAACTTTGATAAAATGTGGCATGCTTTGTGATTATTTTTATATATAATGTCAGAATTATTTGGAGAACAGTAAAAATGATTTAAAAGCTCTAGGCTGAAAATAAATCCATCTGATGCCATTCTTTCAGAAGCTGTCCTTTCCTCTGCTATTGTTAATGCTGTTATTTTGAGCAGAATAATTCCCACAGTTCTGATGGCTATCCAAAAAAGACTAGAAAATGGAGGTTCAGTACCAAACAAAAAATATTTGACAATACCGAACAAAAATAGCCAAAGGTATTAAATGATAAAACTCTCACCCTCACAGAAAGGAGAAAACTAGTGAACTTCAGATAACCTGTAAAATCATAATAGATGCAAAGTAATTCAGAGATTGTAAATAACATGCAGCTAAAAACCATCACCTTTGCCTGGTTACATTTGGCTAAAAAACTGTAGGACCTTACAGAAAGGTAGCTAAAGCATATTAATTCTCTTCCTAGGAGCAAACCTTACTTTGGCCAGAGAATAAGATCCTGAATCCATCTTCTGTGTCTCCCATGATTTCTGCAAGGAGAAAAACTTTTCTACAGTGAAAAGGACCTGCTGTCCATCTGTGCGTATCCACACTTGGCAATAAAGAAAAAGATTAGTTCCTTATCCACGTTGTTTTAATTAAGAAAAAGGCATAAGGTCTCTGGAACTGTGTGAATAACACAGACAAGTTAATCAACTTTTTATTCTTTACAGTCTAAGGCCTTCAAGTAAAAGGGTTTATTCTGTAAAAATACATCTATTTTTAATATGAAGTGATGAGATTTTGTTGATGAGAACACAAACAGAAAAAGAATTGCTTTCCAATGAAATCCTCAGAGGCAGAATTAAACCTAATAAAGTTAATAATTTTTGTCATTTTCACAGGAAATCAGCTCTCATATTCCATAAGAAACTTTGTTAAAGCTTTTAGGATGTTGTGAAACTGAGGTTCAAAATAATGCAAAGGTTCTTGGTGATAACAGCCTACCGTAGAGGTGTTTCTATGGTCAGGGAGAACTTACTGTGAAGAAGAGACAGCACGGGGTAAAGTACAAAAGTTCAAACTTGTGAATTAGTATAAGAACTTCGGAATGTTTCAGGATGAAATTCCTGATGCTTCTGCCTTGCAACAAGTGTTTAAATAGTTGATACTGTATTGCACTTGAAGCCCAGTGCACACCGGTATGGCACACACCAGAGCATCACATTCTTTCACATAATTAATTCAAAACTTCCAGAATCTAAAGTTTGCTTGCTTCCTTCATATTCTCTCAAGATTGCTGATATCCCGTATCAGTTGGTTATGAGGTATGTCTTTTACTACCTCACCAATGGACTTTAGCATGAAGTCCCAAATGAGAAAGATTTAAGCATAGATTTAAGATGAATGGTTGGTGTGACAAGGAAGAAAACTTATCCAAGGATTGCAAAAAACATTTTTATATCCCTAATTCTATTTTAAATATCACTTCCCTTACAATTCTTTCTCAACTGCGAAGTGTTTTTTTCAAGTAGAAATGAATAATTTAACAAGATTCTTACCAAGAAGATGGTTTGATGCTTGTTGAGAAGGCTGGGCTATAATATCACAGAGATCAGATTAACAGAAAATAGGTTATCTAATAAAAACTCATTATAAAAGTGACAGGATTGGAAGGGAAAAGGATGGGTCATTTCTCATAAGGAAGTGATGCATTACTGACTCTAACAATGTTAAAGTAAAAAATCAATAGTTTTCTTATTTTAGCCTTCATCCTAGGCTGATAGATTAATAACATTGCCTTTGTTCTACCTGTGCTTCCGCTTCACAACTAATACTGAAAAACACCCTGTTTCCCCTTTAATTTTTTCCCACTTATGTGCCACCAGCCAGCCAAGATCAATGCAGGGGTAGCAGCAGTGCCTACATCTGTACCCTACTGTTTAGATTCAGCGAAGAGACAGGTTGAATGTACACCTAGACAGCTATGAAGACAGTTCAATCATGTGCTACTTGTACATGAAGACATGTTCAATACATGTACTTGTACAAGAGTTCTTTGGTTGTTCAGATACCTAAAGCAAGACAAGACATTAGGAGCTGGGCCAACTCTATGCCAGCAGAGGTGATATGGGAGTGTAACAGAGGTTCAGTATCATGAGTTCTGGTTAAAAATATGAAATGAACTGTAGGTTGCCACAATGTAAATACTAATGCAGGGTAAGGTGAAAAAATACTTTTATTTCTGTGTTTTCTCAATGTTGGGTCTCATTTTACATACAGCAATAACAAATACCTGCCCAGTTGTCAGTAACCCACAGTCTATGAAGCAGATCCTGCCAAGCATTCTTCACTGCTCTAGCCAAAAGCCCCTTAAAAACTTAAACTAGAAATTATCAACAACTGTGGAAAAATTAAGTTACCCCACCACAAATTATACATTTGTGTCTTTAACAAAGGTCTGACTTTCCCCAACATTTTAATCCACCTGTGCAGATAGAAGTGTTTTGAAGACTCTACACGCAGAAGGGTATTGTCTGGGAGGGTATTGTCTATGTTTCACAAGCCAGCAACTATGGGAATTAGTAAAGCAGGCAACCATGAAATGGTATTCGTAATAAGAACAAACAGAACACAAAAAGATAATATGGTTTTATGTAAAATTTAATAAAAATACCCAGAAACAACAAAAACGTAAACTTACTGTGATCAGAAAGGTTAGAAATATTAGAAAAATTGCATAAAAGTATAGTAGAATGATGTCATTTTAGGTCGCTCCCCCAGCTCATGCCTTGTCCTTTGAAATACAGCAGCATTTTAGATTTGGAAGGTCAGGAGAAAAAAAAAAAAAAAAAAAAGGAAAA